GGGATGAGGAGGAAGTTGGTGGGTTGGAAGGTAATCACGAATGAGTCAATTGGTTCAAAGTCCCACTGGTTCTCAGTGGAGAACCAGGGCTGCCACTGAAGTACGTTATTAGGACCTAGTGAGCATAATCGGTTGTTGTGGTCGAGCCAGGACTCAGAGAAGCTCTGTATTAGTTGTCTCCGTTTTGGCTCGTCCTGCTCTCGAGCCAGTCTGTTATACATGTGTTGCCAAGCTTCTTGGGTCATCACAGTTATTGTCTCTGCTATGGACGCCTTGGCTTGGTTGAGGTCAAAGGCCTGTTGCTGCCGTTCATGTGAGCATCTCATTCTCCAGGCTGACATCAATACAGCGAGGCGTATAAAGTGAAAAAGATTTAGCATGAATGTCTTCCTATGTCACATGAGGACCTCAGATCTTCCGCATTCGCCGATGACTCCGCTGCTCATGTTAGGACTGAGTATTTTAGTTAGTCTCCCGCTGCTCAACAAGCGGCCCTGCTTTCTTATGGCTTCCTTTCATTCTCACCTTTTGCATTCATTTATGCTTGCCGGGGAGAGGCAACCGGACATGAGCCCTCCGAGGATACATGGAGGGTTAAAAAAAAGAAAAAGTTGATTTGGACCTCAGAGAAGTTCAGACTTTTCTGTCGGGTACCGGGCCAAACTTCTACTGACCTAGGACCTTTTGTACTTCTGGACCCTACTGGACTCCACAGACCTCTGGGACCTACTGGATCTTTGGGACTGGGACCCATGAGATTGGGACCAAATGGGACTCTGGGAGCGGGACTCGGGATACTGTCAGGTAACTTGTCAGTTACATGATCTAGTGGTTCCCCCCCCAACCCCCGCTCCCCCCTTCCCCCTTCTAAAGAATCTAAACCACCACCACGTTGGAGGCTGTTTTTTATGAGCCTCCTAAGAAAGTGTGTTTTTTCTTCTTTTGGCTGGTGGCACGCACTATTTTGGTCTGGTACCGCCGAACCCGCAAAACTTTTAGACATATATGACTCTATGAGCACGATTTGCCTGGGGTATGTAGTGGTGGTTTAGCAGAGCAACCGAGGCCGGGGACATCCCAACCACCTTCTAGTACTGAGACCATTACTCAACTTAGGTTTGAAGTTTGAGCTTTGAATTTTTGACAGTTCAAACTTAACAATCACTAGCAAGAAGTTTGAAGTATCTGAAGCTGCCAGTTGATCCCGTTCGCAGCCAGGAGGCTGCGCTTGTGTGGGTTCCATTTTCGTCGTTTCATTTTCTTTCTATTCTCGGTAAGGTCGTGCAGTACAACTTCGCTAGGACGGGTTCATTTGGGGTCTCCGACAGCAGAAAATAGGGTCCGCTCGCAGTCATCCCTAAGACCGGTCGTAGGGCAGGTTATCTTGTCAAGGTCGTTGCAATTTAGTATAGGGCGCCGTCCATTGTTTCCCTTTTGAGGGATAGAGTTTTTTCCCGTTGCAAACTGGGGGCGGGCGATATGGGTCTGGACAGGCAATTTGGTCTTGTCGTTTTGCTTTTGTTTTTTTTCTCTTCTACTGCATCTTCCCAGAATAAAGTATCGAAGCATTCTGCTGTTTACTACGCCCAAGTAACGAAATCTAGAACGGACTGCCCTGCCTCGTTGGCAGGGCTTACGAAGAAAAGAAAAGAAAAGAAAAAACGTATTGACTTCCGGAAAAAGAAAAAAGAAAAAACGTGCTTACCTTTGCCTCCAGAGCTGTGGAGATGGAGGGCCTTGCTCCACTACTGACCAAATGTGCAACATGAGCATGAATATTCTGGTAGAACACAGGTAGATACACTGCTAGTAGTTTAGAGCTTGAAATGCCCTTTTTCCTGGCCGTGTGTGGGGTGGTACAGTCCCCAGTAGCTTGCTATTCGTTTCTCAGTTTTTTTTTTTTTTTTTTTTTTTTTCCCCTCGTACGATAGAAGATTCTTGGGCTCCATCCTGCGTTCTAGCTCAATTGGTTAGGCACGCAAGTGGCATTCAGGAGGTTGTGGGTTCAATCCCCACGGCCGCCTGTGGCACTCTTGGTGCCATCCAACTGAGATAGTGAGCTGGATCCTCCCAGTCGGTATAAGGTCTTCAGCCAACACGGGTGTGAGTGCATGTGTGAGTGGGTTGCATGTGGTGTGTGGAAGAGTGTTGGCTTTGGACACTACCATCCAGAAGGCTGCCCATCCCCCACTTCATAAGAACTTTGCCAAGCTTACTGTCTAGAACATAGAGCATGCTACCCGAATGGCTGCGTCCCCGCGCTTGACGTGGTATAACAGTTTTTTTGTTTCATTTATTATCTATCGATTTTGATTTGCATTCAATTTGCTAAAAAAGAGCTCCGGGTGAGTCGGGGGTGACCTATTTGCTTTCCTTTTCCTGTATTGAATTTGGACTCCACAGATAAAAGCCCTTGCTGCTGGTGCACTGGACCCTATGCAAGACCGAGAGGTAGATATCCCTAGATATGCCTCACTTGAAAGCCGGAAGCAATAGTGACATGCATATGCAATGAACAAGAATATGAAAAAAAAGGGAAATAAATACAACACAAATGGAAAAGAATCACAAATATTATCATCCCACACTACCCCATAACGAACCGAATAACCCCCCCTATTTTGTTGGACGTGTACCAACCCATTTCATCCTCTTATCTCACTCACATCTATGGTGCATCAGCACCTCCTACAGTCTCTCTCTCTCTCTCTCTGGGACAGCCTTATTCCACGCTCAAACTTGAGCAGCAGCGCTCCAGCGTCAAGATAATTGACGGCAGAATGAATGAATGAGCTAGGGCAGCTCCGGATTTTATAGTGTTGACTCAGCCTGACCTGGCTGAGGTTGCCTTCTACGGGGTTTTCCCGAGACTGCATTGTGAAGTACTGGACTGAGGGCCATTTCACAAAATCTGAGACCCTACAGACCTGTAACAGTTTCACATGCCCAACCTTGACTCAGAGTTGAGATGGATGTTTGTCAGCTGGATTTTGAACCCGGGTCGTTGCAAATGAAATTAATAGAGTACAAGTGAATAATGATGATACTAGTTGTTATCATCGTGTTAGAGCTCAGAAAGCACATTTTCAATTGAGCAAATCCATTGCTCAGACAGAATTTGGGTGCTAATATCCATGATATTGGAAAGGGAAGCAGCCCCCGGTTTCCAGCAGGTGCTGCTCCCCACCAATGGATGGAGTCTCCCCGGTGGTGCTAGAAGTGTCTGCTCATATCAGCACTCCCAGTGCAAGGAATATGAGCAAGAGCGATATACAGAAGACCAAGTTGTGAAATCACACAGATGTCCAAGTAGTCATGTACAAGCAGAGAGCGCAAATGCATCGAGATTCCATCCAGATAAGAGCAATACAATGAACTGACGAGCCAGTGTCCAAGCCCTCAGGCCACACCAACACCGTATCCAGTGTCGCTCCTACTCTGTCTGGCGCCCAGCGTCCAGCCTACACTACTCGCCTATCCTACTAACCAGCGTTCACGCAACAGGCTCACTTCGACTTTGAAGACCAAGGTACACGACGTCAACACCATAGCTGACCTCCCCCATGCACCAGGTATGTATCTCGTCTCTCCCCTCGTCACCCCTGACTTCCCACAGTGTGCATTCTCAACACCCAAAGACCACCATCGCCATCCCGACCTGCGCCCAGCAGCCCGGCTATGGTTGCCGTGCGCCCACTGCTCAGCAGTGCACCTCACCCCCCGGCGCCCGTGCGCGAGACCCAGCTGGCAGCTTCGTGCAGATCACGAAGTTGCAACGCAGCAGCGTTGCCACATTGCCTGCCTACGCCAGAATGCCCTGCCCAGCGATGCTCACTTTCCTATATGGAAAGTGAGCTCAGCCTCTGCTGCCTCTGGTCCTGGCTGGGCGAGCATCCAATAGCTTCCAGGCCTCAGTGCCTGCGCCCAGGCCCAGTTGCAGTTACGGGCCTGGGCCCTTTACAGTTGGGCACGTCCAGGCAGTCCACGGGCCTCCACATGTTCGCTGTGATCTCATTGGCTCACGGCCACTATGTACCGACAATGCTGCAATCTCATTGGTCTGTGGCTGTTGTATGATGTGTCGGCCTCTGAAAGCGCACGCCCAGGGCCTTAACCGTCCGGGGCCCTGGCTCAACTGCCCGTCGAGGCTGCAACTTCCGGAAAGAGCCTAGAGAGGCTCACGTTGCTCTGTAACCAAGTGGTATGCTGCAACTGTCTGATACCCACATATGGAAAAATGTCAAATCTTGGCCTCTTGTGAATATTCAGGCCCGCCTTCACTTAGGGCGGGCACAGGGCTTGCTGAGGCCCTCTGCCCAGAACATGTGCATGTCTGTTAAGGGCCCCGCGAGGGCTCATTCCCCCCACATATACGACCCCTTTAGGGTGATCACACTGGCCTGTACCGAGGCCTTGGCACATATTGGCAGGCCCGCCTTCACTTAGGACGGGCAAGGCCTTTCCCAGCACTGCCCAGGGGTCAAATCCTCGCACTAGTTTTTTTTTTAATTATTATTTTTTTTTAATAAGGGGGAAGCATCCCCCAGCAAGCTCCTGATTGTGTGCTTGATCCAGACTCTGACAAAACACCCGAGCCGTGGTGCCAATTACGCTGATTGGGTGTTTCTGTCAGTTGACCCCCCTCTTTTCTTTCTTCTTCTTCTTCTTCTTCTTCTTCTTTTTTTTATTTTTTATTTTATGGAATTGGAAAGTACTGGACTACCGTCTTCACCCAAATAAAGTGCCCAGTCATTGTAGCTGTATTCAGGGCAACTTCAGGTCTAGATGTAGCGATAATGACCATGAGTTCTATTTGGGTGAAGAGGGTAGCAGTCCTGTTGTGGTAAATATCGGAGGGTCAGGTGCTTGTTATGGAAGGAAGATCAGGTGCTTGTTATGGAAGGAAGAAGCACTTCACCTTCTTCACCCAATAGAACGCCCGGTCATTGTAGCCGTAGTCGGGGCAACATTCAGTCTAGATACAGTTATAATGAAGACAGTAGCACACTTTTGGCTTCACCCAAGCAAAAGCAGAAATTGGACATGCAGCAATAAAAAGAAGCATGCCTAAAAAGGAAAAAGAAGAAAAAGAAAAGCATGGCAAGGCATGACAGAAGAAATGAAAAAGGCATAATTGCATCTGTACCCCACTTTAAATGGGAATACCCGCTATACCCAGTCCCAGTGCCCAACTTGCATCTATACCCCCAGACCCCGTTCAACTTTGGATGGTACCCGACTTTTCCCCCGTGCTAAATTGTAGGCATACCCAGTCCGGCAGGCCCTGAGTTCCATGCAACGAAATTATAACGATGCCCAGAAACGGGCTGGCAAAATTGCGGGTGTACCCACAGCCAGGGACGAGCCCTGGATGGCAGGCCACAAAATTATGCTCATGCCCTCCACGTGGACCGTTGTTATGGCCCAGCGGGTGCTGGGTATGAACATAATTTCAGCCATCTGGTGGTAGGGTATATGAATAAGTTGGCCGGTCCACCTCAGCCTGGGTATGTCCATAATTTGTGCATTCCGGTAGTTGGTTATAACTGCAATTTTGCGGTACCAACCTGGGTCCACCTCAGTCCTGGGTATGCAAATAATTTCCACCGGCAGTTTTCCGGGTCTACGTGCAAGTTGGCACTGGGACTGGGTATATCGGGTATAGTAGGGTACAGATGCAATTTTCCCCATGAAAAAAGAAGATTAATTTCCAAAACAAAGAAGCCTTACGGAAATTCCAAGACTGTCGTCCTTCTAAGTAGGGGGAAAGAAGAGGGGTCTCACACGTGCCTGGATTTTGATATTGAACTCTTCTTTTTTGTGTTTTTTTGGTGAATGTTGTTGCTGTTTGCAAAACTTTTAGTTCCTTTTCATTGGGACTCAGGCAACTTTGCTGGCGTATGATGTGGAGGCAAATGCAGACGTCTTTTACAAGGTGAGAGATAGGATGCAATGCTTTTCATAGTCGCGTTGAAAAAGAGAAAGGAAAAAACATTTTTGTGATTGACTTGAATCAAGTTCAATCATCAATGTCCTTTTTTCGGAAAAAAAAAACAAAAAGGGATAATTTATTAATTTGCAAAATACCCCCATAAGTTGAGATGTATGCTAAAATGCTCCTAACCGGGTACCGTCCAACTTTGCAGAAAGCCCCAGTACTTGCCAACTTTTCCTAGGCGCTATTGCAGAAGGCCAAGACCCAAACACGGAGGTCCAGATTGAAGTAGCACACCCGCCTGACAGGGGCACAACACAAACATTTCAGCCCAAAAGGGCATCCCACTCGACCCACATCTTTCAAGGGCATTTTGGCATATATCTCAACTTATGGGGGTATTTTGCAAATTATCCCAAAAATAAAAATTAAGAAATTTGAATGTCTTTTCCCCAATTTTTACTTTCTGTTTTCAAATATATATGTTGCCTAATACATAGTAAAGACTTACAGAAAAATTGTGAACTACCCGTGAAAGGCTGGACTTTGTTATTTTTCCTCCGGTCCGCAGCAAATTGTGTCATTTCACTGTATGCCTTCTGATGTGAGTCCAAATTTGTGGAGGAAGGGCTGAAACAATAGAGCATGTCTTCATGCAGTGTCCGGATCTGGAGGAAGATGCATTGGGAGCTCAGACCCCCTGGCCATGGCCGTGGCAGGCAATTCTCGCGGGCCATTGGCAGCATGCACAGGAGGTCTCCACCTTTGAGGAGAACATGTACAGGCTTGGGAGGCGGGAGATAATGTGGGCACTGTGATTTCAACGATCGCTCCTTGCGCTAGGCAGGGTGTAGGCAGAGGGTGTGGAAGTCACAGGAGAGAAAAGCACATAGATATCACACACACACAAAAAAAAAAAAAGGGAGAAAAGCAAAACGTCAGGGAAATATGCCATTTTCGGTGAAAAATTCGCCGAAAATGACACCATATGTCGGCCGCGGGCACTGCGCGCCGGCCCGAAAATCAAGACTGGCCGGGACTTCTTTTTCTGGATACATATGAATTTAGAATGCAATTGTGGCCAGATTCAGTCCAGAAAGTCCCTGTGTAAATATGCCCTAATTGATCCATTCCATCCTTAGTCCTCCCTACTGCGTAGTAGTCGTGCATGCAACCGCGGTGAATAGGCTCATCCTTGTCTAAGGCCATACTGTCGTGTGTGCGTTTTGGATAGAATCTGGCTGTAATTGTGGTCATGTTCATCCCAAAAAGTTGCAGTACAAAAATATGGTTTAAGACATAGCTTTGTGCCCAAAATCGTTCTCGTTCCATCACAGGATGTGCCAGATGGGGTGTCTGCGCTGGCGTTTGGCTCAATGACAGGAAGCAATGGCGTTCCCCTGGTCTTCGTTGGGGGCAATTGCTCCATCCAGGGGTTCGATGTAGATGGCGCAGAGGTCTTCTGGACTGTAGCTGGGGATAACGTGACTGCAATGACTTTATGCGATATCAACATGGACGGAGTTGAAGAATTGATAGTGGGGTCAGCAGATTACGAAATCCGCATCTTTCAGAATGAAGAGGTATTCCAACATCTGGGACACTTGCCCTTGTCCTCCTCCTCCCCCTCCTCCTCCTCCTTCTCCTCCTCTTCCTTGGCCCATCCTGGTGGTCATCCTCCTCCTCGTTTCTATCTCTTCTTTCCTTCCTCCTTCCTCTCTGTCCTCCCTCGTTTATGTCCTTCATGCTTGGCTCTGTATCTCCCTCCCTCCCTCCCTCCCTCCCTCCCTCCCTCCCTCCCTCTCTCCCTGGGCCCCTCCCTCCCTCTTCCTCTCTCCGTAGCTATACCCTTACTACTTCCCTGCCTTCCTGCCTCCTTTTCTCCTGCCTCCCTCCATCTCTCCTTCCCTCCCTTCCTCTCCTCACCCTTTCTCTTTTTCCTCCTTTCTCTCCTTGTCGTCTTCCCATCTTCCCTCCGGGGCCTCCTCCGCTCCCTTCCTCCTCTCCCTTCCTCCTCTCCCTTCCTCTCGCCCTTCTGTCTTTCCCGCATTCCTCCCTGCTACACCTTGCTTCCTTCCTTCCCTCACTTCCCTCTTCCTGCGTTTCCCCTTCCTTCCTCCCCTCCTCTCCTCCTCCCTTCATATCCTCCTCCCCTCTCTCCTACCTTCCTTTCACCACTAAGCCCCTTTCACACCTGTTCCCCTTGATCCCTCCATTCATGCCTCCTCCTCACCCTTGATTTGATGTTTCTTCTTCCCCACTCTGTGCTCCTCGTCCCAAAACAGAAGAGGACAGCCAGCACGTGCTGCTCCCCACGAATAGATCGGAGCATTTGTCCCTTGTTTAAAAAAAAAAAAAAAAAAAAAAAGGGAAATAAAAAGAGAGAGAAGCTTCCATCATTTGGTCATTCTTAGAGAGCCTAGGCAGAGCTAACACTTGCAGCGGGGCTGAGCTGCAATCTATCGTCATGAGGCAGCGATCGTTTGAATGATCATCACTACAAGTTCATTGTGAAATTATTGAAATAGCTAGTGAGAAAGTGAAATAGCTTGCAAACCAGTTCATTCAGCCCTGCTCCCTTCCCCCCCCCTCCGGATATCGATTGGTATTCATCCACCTAAGCCGTAAACCCAAAGCCCAACCATTTCCACCTGAGCATGTTCAGGCCCCTGTTGAGGACGGTGTCGCACAGTAGTCTCCGACCCGTCGTGCATGTACCTCCCAAGCCCTGCACCATAATATTTGGAATGCATCGGCAAAAGTCAGTCACGGATTCTTCCGAATGATTTCTTTATAAGCAAGGATATTTGCTGCTACTTCCTTTAGGCCATACACACACTAGCACTTTTCAAGATGCATCTGACTGCAAGTACAGCGAGACCTGGAGGACTCTGACTGCAATCACGTCCAGAGCTTTGTGGAAAAAAAGTCCTCATCTGAGTATATGCCCTTATAGTCCGTGCTAATGTCTTTACGTTCACATAATCTGCTCTTTACTTCTTGAAATACCTCCTTCAGGCGATCAATGTGTGCCTAGTAACCAGCCTCTACAACACCCTGGGCAAAAAAAAAAAA